TTTCGACTGAACTGACTGAAAATAATTAATTCCGAATTGGAATTAAATCTAGAGAGACTTATTCGGTTACTAAAAATAGTATCGAATAACTTATCGACTAATAGTCGAACGTGGAATCTGACTAGCTGATTAACTCGAACTTGAACATGAACATGAATAATTATTAATAAAGGCTAGCTTAAAACTAAAAGCTAGTATTTTCCTTTACAGAAAATACAACTTATAATGCCCTATGTTTAAAATACAATACTATTATCTAACTTATAATCTTAATATTATATAAATACAAATAACTTATAATATTTATTTACAAATAACTTATAAAATTTAAAATGCATAAGGTGGATTGCTAGTCATCTTTACAGATGAATCATGCAACATTATCTTGAACACTTATTCCCAAGAGTGAACATGTTTTTTTTTTTTTTTTTTTTTTTTTTTTTTTTTTTTTCTTTCTTTATACATATGTTACACAACGGACAATCAATTTGGATTTACCTGACAACATAATAGAGTAGACCGAAGTCATAATTCCATTTTTTCCAGATTCAAATCACATTTCGGCTGACAGTTAGAAATCTAAAACTAAGCCGGAAGCTGAAGATATTGTTTCAAGAATATGCAAAACTATTCTTGTGTTTTTCAAGTGGAAGTTTCCCCAGCTCTAAACTTGTCTTATTGCTGCCACCAGACGAGCCTCTTTCACAGTCTCCAGCGGATGTCTCGAGCACACTCAACGTTCTCTTGGCATAAATCGTGAAAGCAACTGTGGTTATAATGGCAATTACGAAAGAGATGATATTGTAAACAATCTCGACTAGAGTCAGATGGTGGTTCCCATACTGGACATCTGCTAATGTCCTTATGAGCCGACCACTGCAGGAAAAAAAAAAATAAGAAAAAAATGAAAAAACGATACATTAGTATGAACATAAGTTTGAAGCCAAGAATGATAATTCGAAACCGATGAAAATCGACTTTAAACCAGGATTATAACCCAGTTAATCTTCTGGAATTATGAACATACCCGTTGCGAGTATTTACCTTATATGTAGCTTGCTTTTTCTAGGACATATAATTATAACTTTCCAGAAAGATAAATTGTTTTCCGTGTTTGTAAATTGGTGAAACCTACTTGGTTATTGTAATTATTTCTTACTCAACCCGAGAGAACAAAACAGAACACAACAGCATTTTACTGGAAGAAAGAGAATGTTCATATTTTATGTTATCAATAGAGATTACAGGACGTATTATTTGTGCCATTGCTGAGACTTAAACTACATCAAAAAAATCTATAGTATCTCCAAAATAACTACTACTCATGAGGTTTGTGTCCCCTCGATATGTCCAATTTCACAAAAAAAAAAAAAAAAAAAAAAGAAACATATGCGTTACGGAAAGCTGCAGTTATGGACGATTATTGATTTTGGAAGATAATTGGGCCATGTGTGATCAGGCTAAACCCCCAAAAGTAGTATTTTATTATTATCCATAATTTCAAACACTAGTGCATGTGTGTGTGTGTGAGAGAGAGAGAGAGAGAGAGAGAAGTGTGCCTGTAAATGTAAATGAATGCTTCAGGTATCATGCCCGCAACCGATCCGCATAAGTAAGGCCAGAATCTCATACTCGTCACCACAATCGCGTAATTGAATATCGTATAAGGAAATGGCGAAACCCTAAAAAGAGCAACCACTCTGAATTGATGGAACCAGCTTCCTTCACCGGCCAACCTTATCATGGCAGCATGTTTAGGCCATCTCTTCAGCCATTGCTAAGCATATATACACCAACAAAGTTAACAAACCAAAACTTGTACGTAAATATGGAGTACAAGGAAAAAAAAAGTTCAAAATTTGCAAGCTTATTGGGTGAGTGCGAAATTATAAGAACATACTTCCTCCTCAGCTCTAGACTATATGGATGTTAAGAAAAAAAAAAAGCTGAACTAAAAGTACCAATAACTGAGGATGAAATATTTAGGAGTATATATAGTGATTGGAACAAAGCAGAGGGGCTCTTGTAACTAACTTCATATATATATTACATAATATAAAAATCAAAATAATGACAAAACCCAAGCTTGCTTGTGTCTTACATGAATTCTGTCATGGAAGAGTAAACCAATCAAGTAGGGCAATGTCATTCCAATGGTTGTCCCAACCATAATGATGACAAAACCCAAGCCATATCCAAAAATCATCCCGGCTAGCCACATGGAAGGACCCGAAGGAATTAGAAAAATGGGGAACAAAGCCAACGAGGCCACGAGTACAAGCGCCAATACTGGACGACCGAATGCTGTGGCTTCCCATTGCAACAGTGGATAAAGAACCTGAATACAACCAATAAATTAATGGTTAGAACTCGGAATCTTGTGCACATATAATAGAATTTGCAGCAAGAGGACAAAAGACATGTACTATCATGTCTAGTTACTTGTTATGATATGAATATATTTTACTTGAATAAATAAAAATGGAAATGCAGCATTAAGTTTCAGGTCATTTTAATGCAGGGTTGCCAAAAGATGCCAGTAGAATAATCATATATTTCACTGTAGTTATTAAAGATTAGTAGATCTCACGCTGAAAGATTACCGGTTGAACTTTTTACAGCTTACACAAATTATAAGAAGCGTCAAGCACTAATGAACAACTACTTTTGCAATGAAGAAATGAAATGATGGAAACACACCACAAGACTTTACCATTTGATGCCGGACTTCAACAGTAAGCCAATAAGGGGGAAAACGCGAATGAATTAAGACAAAACAGAGAAAAAAAAAATATATATATATATCTATATAGATACTTAGAGAACTATTTTGCTTCATTGCATACTGAGAAAGATCATTAATGGATGCAGTCTAGAGGGAAATTCGTCAATTCCTTTAACCAATTAGCAAAATCATTGTTAGAACTTCTTCAATTACAGCAAAAAATTCACCAAAATCTTAATTTTGAAGGTTATGCAGAAGAAGTGACAAGAAATATTTATAACAACCAGTAACAAGAGGATATTAACACTACCTTCTCCACAAGAAATGGCACGCCCCACTTAACAAATGCAAGGAGCAGTATTACAGTGACTGAACACGATATTACGAAGTTGATCCACCACACAAGAGACTTCTTTCTCGATTGTGCTACAGATTCTGTATCTGCTTCAGGTATTCTTTGCACGTTAGGTATAACCAACCTCACATACTCACTGTCCTCCCTTGCTCGGCTTCTGCATTCTTCGTGCTTTTTCTCTAATTCCTCGGTTGCACCTGGTTTCTTCATCGAGACACCTGATGTCTGTTAAGAAAAATAAAAACAAAGAAATGCATGTGAATTCGTACAGTACAAGAAGCATAAGTTATCACTTTAACACATTCGTACATCAAATTCTTTTCAGTCATTGAAGAAGTAAAAACTAAAAACACAGTCTGCTAAAAGTTTGAGTCCAAACCACAAAAATCAAAGCTCTTACTTACCCTAGAGAAATTCCACAGCGAAATTTCATCAAGCACATGGACTAATTAATTAGTTTCACTCAAAAGCTTACCTAAACTCACAAAGACAACAATTTTTTATTTTTCCTACCGGAGCAGAACTAAACCACAAAACACTTGCTTTAATAAATCCTTTTACTCAACGAAGAGAATAATCCGTTAATCTACTCGACATGCAGACACCAATTTACTTAACACTATCATACAGATTAAAATTAGGCCAACAGACAATCGCCACATTAAAAAACCCGAACAAAAAGAAGAAGAATGCAAAACGTAAACAAGCGAAACCAAAAATTATACAAAAAAAAAAAAGGGAGCTCAAATCAAAGAATTAACAAAGAAGGGAAAAACACTGCACATACAACAAGAAACAAACAATCTCGAAGAGAAAAAAGAGCTCACTGTACAGAAACAAACAAACGATTCCCCTGTTTTGTTTTCTCTCTTTCTTTCTTTCTTCTCTTCTTCTTCTTCTTCTTCTTCTTCAATTTTTGTTTGTTCTTTTGAAGATCCCTTTATTTTAATCCTTTTCTCTTTCCAGTGAAGAAGATCAAGCGTTTGAAAGTAGAAATCCCAATTTGTGTGTGGGCTAATTGGTTGGTTGGGAGAAAAAGTGAAATTGTAGGTGGTGAACTCGGCTCCGCAGTGCTTCTCTTCAATTCCACTCCTCCATTTCAATTTATTTGCCTTTTTTTTCATTTATATTATATTATTTCTCTCCCACTTTTCCTCCTCACAATTTTGAATGCTATAAAGTAAAAACTATAATAAAAAAA